CCCTGCTCTCATGCACAGCTAGCAAATGCTGCAGAGGGGTTTTCTTGACTCCACCCTGTGACTGACTCAGCCCTTGCAACAGGACAGGGAAGGGAATAGCCTGTTTGTACCACTCACTGGGAAGCTTCTGGCTCTGAAGGACACCAGTGACCTTTGAGGTGTGTGACATTTCTGAGGTGTGACTAGGCCTGTCCTTCAGAGAACAGCCACTGATAGTACTGACATGTCCAAAGTGGATTCAGGACATTACACCCCGTGACTAGAGAGAGAGAGGGATATTTTCTAGGGGGGAAAAAAGGGGAAACAATTTCGGGTGCACACACCTGCTGGGAAGAGCTGCTTACCCAGGAGAGGAAAACTGAAGTTAAAAATGTTGCTCCCTACTGAGTATGGCTTTAAATAGTTATGAATCCAAATGCCCACTGGGACCTAAGCATCCCTGACGGTGGTAAAAATGAAGATAAAGGTTTGCAAAACCCTAGACCTCTTGGCTCCGAGATGATACCTTTTATTAGACCAACTAAGAAATCACAAAAGGAATATATTTTCTGCAAGCTTTCAGGCTCACACACCCTTCCTTAGGCTCAGGAAAAATTAAAGATGGTAAATTAATTAAAGATGGTAAATTAATGTTCCCAGAGCCTGAGGAAGGGCATGCGAGTTCTAGAGTTTTACATTTCTCAGACCAATGCGGCTACCAAATACAATGCCCATTTGCTTGAGGATTTGGGATTCATCTTGTGGGTTTATTTGTAAGGTAGATTGAAGTTTCCTGCACCAAGAAAGAGCCTAGCAGGAAGTCAGTTGCTGAGTTGTTCTCACTGGGTTCAAACTGCACACAAGGATGATCCTTATTGTGGCTGTCCCAGGGGGAGGGAGGCGCGGAGAGGAACAGCCAGTGCATAGGGCGCAGATTTGCATGAAGGGGCTGTTCTCCAGCTCTGGACATTTAAGAGAGACTTGGAGGTTCTGCATCAGACACCCATTTGTCTGAGGAACCTGAGCTGGTCTGGACTCCCATCATGGCCTGGGCCCCACTACTCCTTGCACTGCTCACATACTACTCAGGTGAGCAGGGAGGGCTCATGCTCTGGTTGTCCTGGAGGAGGGTACTTTCCAGGGGGCCGAAGTAGATGAATGGTTAATAATGCATCTGTAATGTTGATTTCAGGGGTCAGGTCTCAGTCTGTGGTGACTCAGGAGCCATCCCTGTCAGTGTCCCCAGGAGGGACTGTCACTCTGTCCTGCAGCCTGAGCACCGGAGCCATCACCACCAGCAACTATCCTGGCTGGTACCAGCAGAAACCTGGCTCTCCCCCTCGGCAGCTTATATACAGCACCAACAGCAGGCCCTCCGGGATCCCCACCCGGTTCTCGGGGTCCATATCTGGTCAGAAGGCCGTATTAACCATCACGGGGGTCCAAGCAGAGGATGAGTCCGACTACTACTGTCTTGTGTATATTGGCAGTGGTATACTGGGCACAGTGATAAACCCTGATGAGGAACTGAGACATAAACCTCCCTCCTGTTCTTTCTGCACCTCTGCCCTGCTGGCAACTCTCTGCTCAGGCTACAGCGGATAAAACTCCAAAAGCTAAATGTGTTGCAACAAAGAACAGCAGCCATTCCTGCCCAGAGGGAAATGGTGCTTCCTTGCCTTCTTCAGGACATCTACTGCAGAGAGAACCGCTCCTCTAGTTTTCTCTCACCTGCCAAGAGCCTTCAGGCCAGCTTCAGAAAGGCCCTGCTCCCATAACTTGAAGACTCATGCTTTAAATGCTCTCTGCATGTTTCTCCAGTCACATTACTCCAGGGTTGTGCAGGTGGAAAACCTGACATGAAAACCTCTCGCAGAAGGAGGGAGCCAAGTTCAGAACTGATGCTTGTGGCAGCACAAGCTTAACTTCTTTTTACATGATCTGATGTTTAGAGCCCAGCAACAAGTGCTTGTGATTTGATCAGTGTGAGCTGGGCTTTGCATCTATGCCGGGTCCTTCTGAACAAACCGAGCTCTCATATTGCTCTGGATAAAAGCTCGGCCTGAAAACAGCTGACTCTATCCTCAGCTTCTCCCTCTACCTGAACCAGGCTGCAAACCCCCCACCTCTGGGGTACTCTGTTAAACCCGCGGGACACAGTGATTCAGATGGAGGCGGTGACCCTGCCTGAGGTGTGTGATTAACATCTAGGATCCAGTTCTGGGATCCAGTTTCTAACTCTGCACTTCAGAGGGTTTGAGAATGAATGGAAAAGCATCCTCATGTTTGTCCTGGTCTGCTTTGGTAAGGGAGGCGAGGGTTTCCTCTGAGGGAACCCCAAGAGATGGGGCTGATGTCTCCTTCCGCTCTTGGGTCTTGCTCTCTGAGTTGGTAAGAAGCATTTCTCGGGGCGGGGGAGCAGGTTGTGACGGGGTGTCTGCATTGCTCTTTGCAGGGCAGAGCTCTGAGGCTAGGGACAGACATTACACATAAACTGGTTTAAGTGATCAGAAACAGGTTTAAACCTATAACAGAACAGATGTTCAGTGCACATAAACCAGTTTGAGACTGGCTGAAACTGGTTTGAGATAAACCTGGTCAAATGTATCAGGCTTAACTGATTTGACTCAAGCCAGTTTATACGATGTCTGTCGCAGACCCCTTCCCGGTTTAAGATAAACCAGATACCCCCAGCATCCTGGCATGCTCTCTCTCAATGGATCCTCCTTGCACAAGATGGGTCCTCTTGCCGTGAGTGCCAAGTGCAAGGCACTGGGTGCAAGGCTGGTCTGGGTGCTATGCATTTAATGAGAGAGTTCATTAGGCACACGATCCCAACTTATTTGACTGTACATTGGGGAAGGACCCAGTCTATCAGCCCTGGTGTATGAAGCCCTACATGTACATACACACACACTGTGCAATTCTGCTCCTCTTTCTATATCCTTTCTGTATATATTTGGCTTTTGGATGACAATAAGTACAGCTATACAGCTATAGTGTAGGAAACTGAGTAGAGAAATCTCTGGGCTATCGGGAAATGGAATAAGAACTGTTATTCTCTCAGGGGCTTTGTCCCAGGACAAGAACAGGACCCAGCTTTCCTGGGTCACACAGGGGCTATGAACAGCAGTGAATTGGTTACATGCAGCCTGTCCCTGCTGTTTCCCTTTGTGATTCTTGATTATAAAGCAGGGCAGATGATCTTTATTATGTTTCCAAGCTGCCCCACTCTGTTTCCTAGATGATGTATCAGCAGAGGGTGCTCATGACCACTGGATGTCAACCTTGCTCTGGATGTCACTCAGCCATATCACAGATCTGCTGTGATATGGCTGAGTGACAGATGGCTTCAGGGGCAATGAGCAATGAGGGTTTCCACGTCTGTATGGTCTAACTGACAATTTGCTCCATGTTGCAAAGTTTCTGAATGGGCACTTTCTGAAACAATGTCCTTTCCCTGCCATTTTTAAGTCCTTGGGTTTTTGACCAAGGGAGATGAAGGGGATGGAGGTCTTGAGACTGAGGCCCTGGTGCAGGACACAAACTGTCAGGATTCAGTTCTGTTGCCATTGAATTGGGGATGTCCGCAAGGCTCTGTCCTGCCTTTCCAGCTCAGGTCCACAGCGAGCAGGAGAATAACCAGGCAGTCTCACCCTTCCACCCACTTGGGATCTGTATCCTTAGTTCTTTCCTAACAGGAGCTGCATGGCATGTGCTGCGCTGGACTGGGAACTGGGGACGAGATGGTCCTCACAAAGACGCTCT